GCTTCTGATATTGCTACAACAGCAGAAGATATGATGTGTTTTGGATCATTATCTGTTGTTGCTGATTGTAAAGAATCTACTGATGATTATTTAAGTGATTTAGCAGGAAGTTGTAAATTAACACAAAAAGCAGTAATTACATTCATGGAAGCTATTCCATCAATTTATAAACATGGGTCTGAGTGTAAAGGTGATGAAGGGTTAATACAAAAATACGTTGAATGTTTAGTAAAAATTCCAGTTAATTCAGGTTCTATTACAGAAAAGAAAGAAACAATTGAATTTACATATTTTTATGAACAAATTATTGAAAGATTAAAGAGACAAGAATTTAAACCAGTTATTAAACAAAAATATATTGAAGCAAGTTTAGGATTAGTTGCTAGTGTCAGTCGTAAATATATTTATCAAATCATTAACACTAATACAAAAAAAATTAAGTCTATTGTTGGACAATTCTTAGCAATGTCTAAATGTATTTCACATTTAAAACCTAAAGATTTTAAATATCTTCAAAATACTAAAAAATTTGATTCAAAAGAATTTGAAAAAGACTGTGATAAAGCTGATAAAGACTCTAAAGAACAATTCCAAAAAGAATTATTTTATAATGTAAATATGCAAAGAGGATATGATCTTGAAATTCTTTATATGTTAGAAATTGCTGCACTTGCAACTGATTTAATTAATACTATTCAAGACTTTATTGATGCTGTTTATACGGTAATTGCTTTTAATGAAAAGAAAATAAATTAGATGTTATGGACGATTCATCTCCTGTGGCTGATGAAATTACTTCTGATACAAAATTAATTAAAGTAAAGATGATCGTGTAATTTGTTCTTCATTGAACCAAATGATTTATAGGTTTGTAACAAGTTATGAATCATTTAGAGAACAATTCTTCCAAACTTATCAATCCTTTACTAAAGGTTCAATTGTATTATCAAAAATTGTATCAATGTATCTTGGAAATAATTCTCTACAAGAACAAGTAAGAACTCAATCATTAATTGCAATTAAACACTTTGTTGATGAATGTTTTAATGACTTAGATTCAAGGTCTATTGTTATTGTAAAGAAGTTTATAAATGAATTAAAACATAGAAATGAAGAAAAAAATGTACAAGCACTTAATGCTGTCCTATTAAGAAAAGAAACAGAATTAAAACATTTTATTGCTGAAAGTCTTGTTCCACCAATAGACTTCTTTATACCACAAGAGGCTGTTTCACCATCAATGTTAATTCAATTATCTGATAGTGGAGAAGTTGCTCGACAATTAACATTAGTTGCTTCTAAAATATTTAATAAAATCGGTCGTCAAGAATTCTTCAATAAATCTTGGAATGATGAATCTTTATTCCCACAATCAATTAATGTCATAAGAATGTTACGACATTCTGATACTGTTCGTGATTGGGTAACTAGTTCTATTTTATCTTTCTTTTCTACAGAAAATAGAGTAAAAGCTACTATTCATTTCATTCAAATTGGTGATTATTTGATGAAATTAAATAATTTCCAATCACTATATGGTATTGTCCAAGCCCTTGGACCAAATGGTTGTATTTCTCGATTACAGGTTATGGATAGTATTCCATCAAAATATTCTAAGTTATATCATCAGCTAAAGAAAGCAGTTCATGACAAAAATGATTACAAAAACTACAGACAAATTATTTCTAAAATTAATGAACCTTACATCCCATTAATTAATGCATTCTTAAAAGATATCGAAAAATTTGAGGATGAAAATCCAAAAACAACAAAAATGGGTAAAATTGATGTTATTAATATGAAAAGATACGATTCTTTAGCTGACATGGTAAATCAATTCCTCAGTGTAAGAGAAAATTCTTATAAAATTCCAATGGTAGAGCCTCTATCAACTTTCCTTAATGAAATGGTAAATTTGAGTGGTAAGCCTCGAGATGAAGTTGTTTCAATGTGGATCAAGTTATTACCAAACTAATTTTTCTTAGTTTTAATACTTTTTACAATTGAATAAATTCTTTTCATTCTTTTTTAAAGTCAATTGTATCAATCCATTTTTTAAAATAAATGAATAAAAATATATTTTTCAACCATTTTAATTGTAACAATTTATCTTCATATTAACTCATGATTTTGTTATATTATTTGATAGTATTTAGTATTTCCTTTCTTTTTTTGTTATACCATAATTTCTTATTATTATTTGTAACACATTGTTCTAAATTTTATGTGTATTGTTGAAAAATATCCTTAACTAACTCTCTATTATAACACTTTTCAGTTATTACTATTAGGTTGTGCTATCTTAATTTATGTGTTTCCAATAATCATTTTCTTTATGGTATTACTTTCCCTCTAAGATTATTTTTTACTATTTTTTATTTTCTTTAAGATTCGAAAACATACAGGGACACCACACAGAACCTAACATATTTCCAAATTTTGAATCCTCCAGTTATAGTATCGTTAGATGTTGAAGTTGGTTAGAAAAACATCTCATTCGCCACAAGATACCAGTGGTTGTTATTCACAATGACAGGGCTGTGTCTATAATAAAAGGGATATTTATAAATAAATATCATTACTTGTTAGGACACAAGTATACTTGACATATGGGCATTATCAAAGGAAAAGGTTCCAGTCGTTCTAGTCAGTGCTAAAACGAAAACCAGCCTATAGTAATAAGGCGACAAATATATATTCTTCTTAAAATAAGAAAGTAAAGAAGAAGAGTTTTAAATTCATTAAAAACGGAAAGAGGCTAAACGAGGATGTTTAAGTCAGGGATATTAAATACTCTTATTATAAAACAAACAAATGAAGAAATTCAGTTTTCAACAACTAAAAGCTAATAATAAAGTAATAATTGTGGCCAAACATTCTTAAATCAACGTGATGAGGTTAGCCTTCCCTGAGCAAGGAATAATAGAAAATAAATCTACCATCACTTAATTAATTACTTTTTAAGTAATTTCAAAGATATTTATTATTATGTTCAAAAAATTTTTAATCACTATCTTAATATATTTACTATTACCTCTTTTGTTATCAATTGTTTTAGTTTATTTAACTAGTTTAAATATAATTTAATATATTTCTATATCTATTTGTAATTTTATTATTTTTATAGAATTATTAACTCTCTTAAAAGTATTAGATTATTTAACACTTGTTTCTTCATATTAATTTTATTTAGATTAAAAATAAAAGTTATTTCTTATTTATTTCATAAAGATAACCAGAATAT